GTGAGGTTGCCGTGAGAGGCAGCTCTGGGCCTTGTGGCCGGCTTGGAGCTGAGGCGTAGGGCGCCGACATGGGAAGCGGGAGGGCGACAGCGTCGGAGGAGGCGAGCAGCGAGAGGGCGGATCTGAAAGGGTTGGGGTAGAGGCGGTTGAGCTGGAGCCTCGGGCAGGAAGCGGAGGGCGGCTTAGGCCTCGGCGGCGGTGCGGCTGGAGTGCAGGGCGGAGGAGCGCAGCGCTAGCGTGAGCGGCTAGCTGCTCGGTCTGAGACGGGCGGCGGTGGATTGGCGAGGAGGCACGATGGCGTGGTGGGAGAGGAGCTTGCGCGGGTGGTGAGCATGGGTGAAGAGGCAGGCGGCGAGTCTGGGGATGAGAGGAGAGGAGCACGGCCCGGCGACATGTTGTGGCGAACGGCGACCTAGGTGCGAGGTGCAAGGGCTAAAGGGCAGGAGGAAAGGGACGGCTGAGGGAGATTGGCGGGCTTGGGCCTGCTGGAGTGAGGTCGAGGCGCGGTGGCGGCTGGTCGCGCGGGGTCTTAGTTGAGCCTCGGCGCGGTGATTGGGGAGGAAGCAGGGAGAGAGATGAGGAGAAGAGGATGAGGGAGGGGAGGGGGAAAGAGGGGGTGTCGTGTGAGTTATTTGGAAAATCGATCCTTTTTGCATGGAACCAGTAGTCCTGTGCAAAATAAGGTCGATTTTACCAATTTTTTTGTTAGACAGTCGTTTTACCTGTTAATTTAAAAAAAAATTGTTTTTCAAAATTTATCCTAAGATTTATGATTTATTTAAAATAAATCATAATTGTCTAGTGCACAATGATATTTTAATTAGGTTAAAGGACAGACAGCGTGATTTATTCAAGGAAGCTAGAAAGATTTCTTTTTGAAGCAGGAACCAAGGATCAGTGGTGGGAACAAAGAGTGGATAAGATGTGTCTCAATAATTTCTCGTGCTTATTATTATTATCATCATGGAGTAGTGGATGAGGAGATTGACAAGGGCATCCACTAACACGAGGTCCACATGGACAAAGTCTTTTTTGGTTCAAGAGAGAACTTTTGTTCTACTTATAAGTCACACAAAAGCAAACTTTTTTAGCTAGCTTGGCTCAAATCCTTGTTATGGTAAAATGCTCTAATTTTGTGTGAACATGGATAATGTTATACTTTGGAAATTATCAAGAACAACAATAAGAGCGGCTGCACTATAACTAATTGGCCGAATTCCAAAGCACCTGCAAGCATAACCCGAGTTGCAATCTGGCGGACTCACCTGGTGGTTCAAATCTGAGACAAAAAGCGCTCCTAACTGTAGGCTGTCTAAAAATAATAAAAGATAGCTGATTCCCCATCAAACACCAATGATGGAAGTTACAATCTGACGATTTCCAGAAGGCTATCTTTAGCAACGCTCTGACAGAAAGAGGTTACAAATCAACGATCTCTTCAAACCAAGACGTGGAAGTCCTCCCCGCGTACCATCGTCAAGATATAATACCAACGCAGCTTCAACCGCTGCAGACACGAATGCATCTTTTTATGTGAGATGATTGATCTTGATGGCTGCGACAACAACATGACTAATATTATATTTAGCAACTATTAGAGCTGCGACAACAACATGACTAATATTATATTTAGCAACTATTAGAGATGCTGATGAGCAGTGTAATGATATTCGACACACTGAGGAGCACATGGTTAAACCATGCAAAGAAATCTTAGTGGAGATCGTGACCTGCAGTTGATAGAGCGTTGTTGAGATGCCTCAATTGTCACAAATGGCCTGAATAAGATCTTCTTTACTAGGTCATTTGTGTCATCCATATATATAAAGGCAGAGAAGCTCGAACGCAGCTCATCAACCGCCGCCAAACGCAGCTCCATCGCTGCCCAACGCAACTCATCAATCGCTGCCAACGCAGCTCCATCGCCGCACGACGCAGCTCCATCGCTGCCCAACGCAACTTATCAACCGCTGCCAAACGCAGCTCATCAATCGCTGCCAACGCAGCTCCATCGCCGCACGACGCAGCTCCATCACTGCACAACGCAGCTTGTCAACCGCTGCCAAACGCAGCTCATCAATCGCTGCCAATGCAGCTCTATCGCTGCACGACGCAGCTCGTCACAGCAACTCTTTCCAATCACCGCCAGAACGCAAGTCAAGGTTCTGACTCATTCAAACGTGATCGTAACAACTTTGAAGCTGTTCTCTATCCACGATATAGGGAGTGGTTTACGTGGGTTGTTACACCCGATTAATGGGGTAACTAAACCCCCATTTAGGCGCAGATTATGGGAGCAGTTACATCCCTAATCCCCCTATAAATATCAACAAACTCAACAGAGTTAAGGATCAGATTTTTGATAATCAGATCGAGGAACGGATTTGTGGAGATTAGATTACTTGGAGAGGATCTTTCGATCAGATTTCTTAGTATCAAAAAAAGAGGATTGACTCCTTACACAGTCTGGGAAATCAACAAACGGAGGAGCTCTAAACCGTCGATATTTGGCTTATTAACCGAATTATTTTCGGTTTGAACAACTCTATTACTAGAGTTTATTGTTTGTTCTGAATCACGAAACTCATCAAGAGTTATCAACCAGACAAGACTGTTGTTCCAGTGAGCATAGATATTCGGATCGTCAACGAGAAGCAAACTCGACGCAAGCATTCGAGGGAGGCATCTCATCGCCACCGTGAAGAACCCAGAATTAAACAAAGGAGAGAATCCAGATCATTCTCTTCTCTTTTGTAATCGGAAATCCAATTGTAATCGAGAGTTGAGAGAGTTGTAATCATTCTTTTTCTAAGCAGTTAGAGAGAATAAAGTCAAATACAGTTCTTTCATTCCTTTTTTTTTGTATTACAAATTTTCCAACAAACACCAACCCAAAATTTACTGGATGTCCGACTCCGAGACGAAAGACACTCTCCACTCGGACCCAATACAAGACGTCTCGAGCAGAGAAGCATCACTACAAGTGGCATCAAAAGTCGCACAACATTTAATGAATGTACAGTCGGCCCCTGCACTTCACCACTCGGTCATCATCAAGCGATTAATGCGGCGTCGGTCATAAAGACCTTATGAGCCGGAGCGGTCAAAGCTCCTCAGACACGCAATTACTCCAATAGCCTCATCACTATGTAAAGACAACTCGACCAATTAGCTGCCGACGCGTGCAAAAATAGTGTCTGAGCCAATACTTCACACGCTCGGCTCAAATTACCAACGTGCCCCCGTAAACCCTCTATAAATAAAACGATGATCTCCACCATACGAAGGTGCGTGAAGTTTACATAAAAAAGTCAGCAAAATTATTCTCTGTTTTTCTCTTCAGATTAACTATAAATAGTCACTGAATACAGCGTCGGAGGGCATGCCGGAGGAAAATAACCTCTGAGGCCTCTAACCGTTGTTTCCTGTGTAGCGACGAACAATGCAAAGATCCGAAACGGTGAATCAACCATCAAAGGCGATTAAGGTACCCCAGAAACTAAGTTTAACCTTCCTAAGTCACATACCAACTTCGCAACGTCAACCCGATATAACTTTCATGATTCGTGCATTTTGGCTATCAATATGGACCTATATTGGATTGTCCATGTTACTAGACTACCTAATAAGTAAATTATCGATTGATTAGAAACGAGTTTCATTTTGGACTTCATGTTTTGAGACTAAATAAGGGTGTGTGTATTTATCTATGTACATATGAGAGATATAACTTACGAATCTAATTAGCAGTGAAACGTACCGTCATGACATTTGTTTAATAGCTTTTTTCCATGCTATAATACATTCTACTACCCGAGCGTGTTTCACAAAATATGAAATTTATTGGCTAAATTACCAAATTGATATTAAAAGTAGTGCCCAATGCCAATGGTCAGATTGGTTTAAAATTATCTCCGGCGATAACTATGTATTTGAACATGCACGGCGAGACCCATAGGCTCAAAAAAAATTCCCAGCCATTTTTTCGGCAACCGTTCAGATAATCCCATTTTAATGAGGGATTTTCAAATTAATGTAAAGAAGATGGTTTTTTTTTAAATTTGGAAATTTTTTTCTCCTTTTCCCCTTCTAATTGGTGGTTCTTCACTGCTTGAGCTCAAAAAATCCATCTTCTCTAGCAATTGAAAACTCCAAATTAAATAAAAGAAGGAGAATAAGCCCCCAAATTAAAAATTCCCTCTTTTCTTTCACACTAATTTGAAATTATCCCCCTCTAATGATTTGAATGAGGCTAACTAACCGAAAAGTTGGTCGATTATATGAGTAGTTGCTGGAAAAGTTAGCCGAAAAAGTTATTTACTACAAATCTAGCCACCTAGAACTATTTTTACTACTGGTATGGTAATTTAGCCAAAATTTATGTGCTTAGTTAAACATCTAATAACAACTTACTTTAAATAAATAATAGTACAAACCTTTCCTCAAATATTGTATTAGAAAACTGCTTGAAAAAAAAAATACACTAAGTTTATTATTATTATTTTTTCTCTATTTCCGCAAGAGAGAATTAGGAATCACCGGGGGTTGACCATATCACGAGCACGTTTGCGAGTCGCGAAGGACCATACCGTAACGGCTAACGAGTCAACTGTCCCCTCAGCAAAAACGGAGGAGCCAATCTGCAAATGAATCAAAATTCAAGGACCAAAACAGAATTTCCCCCATCCAGCCTGGCAGGCTTCCAGTGACCCGAGCTGTAATTTTCATCCTCGTCATTAAAATTTCCTTTAAAAAAAAAAAGCAGTAGAGCGAAAAAGCTCGCATCTTTAGCTCGCGCCTTCCTCAATCAGCGTCGATCCTCCGACAAAATCGGCGGTCTGTTACCGCCGCATTTGGATCTGCACTCCCTAGGGCTCAGTCAAGTCGTTCGTACTGAATCGTGATGAGGCTTTCGATTGGAATCGTTGGAATCGTCTCTTCTTGATGCTCGCTTTGGGGGCGGCGGCGGCGGAGGAGGAGAGGA